GCTGGTTTGCTTTTGTCTTCTTAAACTTCAAACGTCTAATGCACTTAGAGACTGGTGGCTTTTTATCCAAGAACTAACAGGAACAGAACCTGGTTAGTTTTGTCAGGATCTGCCAAGATAAGGCCATCTCCTCTGGTTATCAATATACAACATTGGATTCTACTCTAAAGAGCTCAGAGAGCACTCAGGACTCAGAGGTTGCCTCACTACAGCTCTAAGAGATCTCTCAAAATCTGCTTTTAAATTGAAGGGACCTAAGTATCTAGTATTTAGTGCTATCAATGCAGTCTGAAGAATGATTTAATCCCTACATTTGAAGAAGCATCTACTAACTTGCTCCAACCTCATCGTCTGCTGCACTTCAACTTCAGTGACCCATGTGAATTCTGAAATTTGAAGCATAAGCTCCCGGGAGGACAGCAATTTGGCAACAGCTGGGTTAGGCTCTTTGAGCAATCCTTAGATCCCAGCCAATCTGTCAGTAAGATTTGAAAATGATTACTTGCCTAGCAAACTGTGAACAGGAGTACACAGAAAGAGAAGCATTTAAAGAAGTTTTCTACTTTTTCACTTACATTAAGTATGTGTGGGTAGCTGGGCTAGTAACATCTGTGTATTTATTTTTAAGGCTTCTTCATCACTCTTTCCCCGTTTTTTCTCTTTGCTTTTGCTTTTTAGAACAAGAAAAAAGAGAATATGGGCTACTATGTTCACATGCATAATCTTAAATCATAATTTGTATAATAAAAATTCCAGGTCCTTGGGAAGGATTGGATAGGTGGACAAAAAAATCCAATCCAGTCTAAACATCTGGTTGACTGTATGACCAACCTATAATAATAGAACCAGCATCACTATTGAACCATTTTCATTCTCAAATCAGCCGTCCTCTCTTCTACCGTCTCCTCAGACAGAACAAAATCCTCAACTGGAAAATAAAAAGAACTGAAATGAAGAATAATTAAGCATCTAGGACAGCACAAAGTAACAGAATAGCTAGCACAACTATTGAAGGATGGTGATGCTGTAATATCAAATATAAGCATCAGCTCACTGCAAAAAAAAAACAAATCAATTGATGTAAGGTCTTATAACTGCAGTTATAAGACCTTATATGCAAAATCAATAAATAAAAACTAAAGCCAAACAGTGCATCACCAAAATGGAAGATCAGGCTGGAAAATAATAAGCTAAGATTGTATGCATAGATGAAGTAAAAGAAGTTGAGGAACAAGAAGACCAAAGAATACCTGAACAAGAAATAACACATAGAGACAAAAAAGGTCAAGGAAGTATTGTAAGTAATAAAACAACGTAACAGCCATAGACAAGATGTTGTTACATTGTCATCCCAGGGGCCTGCAGAATTGTCTACACCGCTGTGTTCTGAAGCAACCGAAGCTCCCAAATATTCTTCAAGGGTAGCCCATTTAGGGAGTATTGCAGTACTCCAGAGAAAATATGACCAAGGCATGAGTAACTGAGCGCAGGCCTCATCATCTAGAAAAGCGCGCAACTAGTATGCAACACCAGAAATGGTGGAGAAAAGAGCAAGAAAAATCAAGAATTGGTCAGCACCAGGTGAAGATGAACTGCATGGTTTTGGGTTGAAACATTTAACTGGTTTACCACCCACTCATCACCAAACAACTTAACATATTGCAATGAGGTAAATTGAAGATTGGTTAATATCTGACCAAACCTTCCTGATAATGAAAAATCAAACAAAGGGCCAGCACCAGGCAACTACAGGCCAATGATCTTGCTTACCGATAATTTTCAAATTGCTAACTAGTACGGCAGCTAATGCAATCCAACAGCACCTACCGTAATTGAAAACTAGCTCTTTCTATCTGAGCAGAAAGGAAACTGCCTGAACAGCCAAGGGACAAAAGTTCAGCTCCTAATTGACAAGATGAGTTTGGGAAACTGCAAGAGAAGGAAGACAAACATGAACGTAGCTGGGATTGGGGACACCAGAAGCTTTGTGAAAAGATCACTGGCAGTTGCTGGTAAATGTTAATAGACTGGAAAATATTAATATTAAAAAAAGAATCTTTCAAGGACTCTCAAAAAAAACAACAACCCCTGAACAAGTCAGGTCACCACACATCAAATACATCTGCCAGGCTATCCCACCTCCTTTACATGGACAATCTGAAACTGCATGGAAAAACACCATCTGAAATGGTGCTCAGCAACTGCTGCCTGAATATACAGCCAAGATATGGTAATGGAATTTGAACTAGGCAAATGTGCCACCCTTACCATCAACAGGGGAAAAAATAGTGACAATTGAAGGATTCAAGATGACCCATGGAAATAACATCAAGAGTCTGGGTGAAGATCCCTGACATCATCAAGCACACTGAAGTCAAGAAAGTCAGGAATACATCAGAAGAGTGAATAAGACCTTAAAAGTTCAAGCTCAGTGGCAGAAATGCCACAAAGCGATTAACACTGGACAATTCCAGTCATTTGAAAAAACTGGAAGGGGTGGACTGGATTTAAGCTGAACTTAAAGCCCAGATATGAAGACAGGAAAAATAATTACAATAGATCATTCCTGTCATACACTCAGAGAAGTTTACAAACTATTTATCAAGAAGCATTGTTGCAAGTATACCAACCAAACAGTGGAAGAAGAAAAAAGGACATCAGAAGAATATCTGACGAACAGTGAAGAAGATGCACTAAAGCAGTGTTTCTCAACCTTGACAATTTTAAGGCATGTGGACTTCAACGCCCAGAATTCCACAGCCAGCAATGCTGGCTGTGGAATTCTGGGAGTTGAAGTCCACATGCCTTAAAATTGTCAAGGTTGAGAAACACTGCACTAAAGCCCTTCCAACTCTACTATTCTGTATGGTTGGATTGACCCTGGGGTCATTGTGATCACCATTTGCACTTTTCCAGCCAGCTCAGCTTCCAACAAGCAAACTTTATAAGGGAAGCTGGCTGAATCTGTTAACGAATCCGGCTTCCCGTATAAACTTATCAAGTGCGATTGTGATTCATTTCACTGGCAGAAAAGATTGTGAAATTGGATGTGACTCATTTAACAACTGCCTTATTTAACAATGCAAACTCTGGTCCCAACTGTGGTTGTAAATCGAGATTACCTGTATATTAAGCAATCTGACTCTGCAGAGCTGTCCGCAGAAAGGGAACAACAATGTTCTTTCCACAGTACTTTAAAGTGACTGACAGCATGTAGTTTGTACAGGCAGCTGAACCATGACATGAGATATGTAGAAATAAAAGACTTTTTTTAGTGGAGTTAAGGGAGTTGAATGAGTGTTGAAAGGAAAACTAAGCAGTCATGTTTAAACTGATCATGTCTAAGGCTGATGGGCAGCAAGTGTTTCTTCTAAGGGAATACACTGTGGGTGCTACTGTTGTAGAATGAGATATTTATATTTGGAGAACAATTTAGCTCAGGGAGAGAAAACGTGTGAGCTATACATGGCCCACAAATCTCAGAATCCCCGGCATTATGTTGCAGAAATCTGGGGCAAGTCACCCAGAATCGGTGGTGCAATTTTTGATAAGAAATACAAACACACACAAAATTGTGATAAGCCTACAGAGGCTTAAGTACATTTAAAGAATTAGACTCACCCACCAATTAAAAAAAAAAACTGGAAGAAGAAGGGAATAGTCAATAGTGCTAGCTCCAGCAACAAAAAGGTTGCTTCTCTGGATTTAAATCCACTGATTTGTTTGTGTGTACCAGTCTTCCCACACATGGTGCTCTCCAGATTTGAGATTTCCCAGGAAACATCTGCAATTAAAGGCTCCCTTACTGAGAATGATAGAAAAGACTGAAAAATTCTACATTCTTTCTAGTATCCACATATTCTATCCTCCTACAGCAGCCTTCTCAATCTGTTTACCTTGCAGGATGTTAGGACTGTAATTCCCCAAATTGCTAGCCACTCTCACCCTAGCTGCAGAGTACCTGGTTGGGGAAAACAACAGTACACTACTCATCCAACAAGTATCTCTATCCATATCATATTACGTGTAACATGAATCAGTCGTGTCATGCTCACAGCTTCAGTCAGAAACAGGGAAGAACAGAGACCTCAAGCAGCACTATTTCCTCTGTGTTATCCTACTTCTTGCATCCCTCTGCAACATCTGCCTCTTTTTTTTTTTTTACGCCTTTGATGCTTGCTTAAGGAAACCACATACAGGCCAAACACTAGGTTTGGATTACAACTTGAACAAGACATTCCATTAACTGAGCTGGTTTATATTTTAGACTACTCAAGTTACAACTGAATTATCCAAACATGAAGCGGAATCTCTATATTAGCAGTTGGCAAGTTTTGCCAGCATTTTAGTTGATGGGGTAAATATAAGCATCAAATGGAGACATGTTTGTACAGTAAGAAATGTCCCATGTGCAAAACTTGATGCAACACAGAAGAGGACTGACCCTAAGATCTCTGAAAGGAGCGACCGGGCTGCTACAAGCAATAGCAATAGCACTTAGACTTATATACCGCTTCACAGTGCTTTACAGCACTCTCTGAGCAGTTTACAAAATGTCAGCATGTTGCCCCCAACAATCTGGGTCCTCATTTTATCAACCTCAGAAGGATGGAAGGCTGAGTCAACCCTGAGCCGGTGAGATTTGAACTACCGAACTTCTGGCAATTGGCAATCAGCAGAATTAGCCTGCAATACTGCATTCTAACTACTGCGCCATCACAGTTCAAGAAGATGCAACTGACATCTCCTTTTAGCATGAGATTTCATGGGGGACCTCTTTTGATTCCAACCTCTAGCTTTGCCTGTGAATAAAAATGCCTAACCCACATGGACTTCCTACTTCAGGTGCAGAGATGCTGAAGAACAGCACAGTATCCCAGCGTCCAATCATCCAGGCAATGCAAGTATATCATCTATTGGCAACAAGGAAATAACTTTGTTCAAAGACTTTGCCCGTAAATACTAGCATTTTTAGCAAAAGGAAATGTTTACAGACTTACCTGCTGCAAAAGGCATCTTATACGGGTAGCCATTCCGCCCTGTATACACACTGCCAACTCTGCTTTCTGGTACATGCATAACTCCACAAAGGCTGAAGCTGTTAATTGCTGGTCCCTCTCCACAACAATACGGAGAGCTACACCAATGAAATGGCTGAAACGAAGGGTCAGACGGTAAGGAACCTGGAGATACCAAAAGTCCCTCACAACCCGTTGCCTGCGACAACTCATCCTTCGGGTATATCGAGCAATGAGTGTAGCTATTATATCCACTTTGGCCATAATAAACATAAAATCCATTCAATGGCGTCAAGTCAGATGATTCAAAGAGACAGCCACAATCTGGATGATTGCCTGGAACAGGCAAAGGATGGAACTGAGGTACTGGGAAGGAAGGCTGATGAAATTCCTGCTTGGGGGTAGGAGATTTCTCTCCAGGTCTTCCATATTCAGGCTTCATGGAAGCTTGCCCACCCATTAGCAAAGGCAGTCTGTGGAAGAAACCCTCTGTGCCTTCAGAAGAGTTAGGTGTTGGTGTGTAACTGATGGATTCCGTTTTCCCATAGATTCTAGGAGAATCCTGATGAACTGCTTTTCTAAATGCACCCTCAGAGACACCTTGCCAGTTACGTTGACCCTCTATTTTGACAGAGGATACTTCCTTTTTGGATTTAACACAATTTTTTCCATTGGCTTTGGCCCACTTGAGTTTTGATTTGGAACTGTGTCCTTCCATCTTGCTTTCTCCAGTTGATTTACTTCTGGGCTTTAATGGTTGGTCTTTCTCATGAGTCAGTTTCAGAAAAGCTGCAGCATTGAGACTGGCCAATCTCTTTGGGGCAGGATGGTAGGAAATTCCTTTGTCCTCCCGGCTTTTCCCTTCAAAGCCACCACCCACGGACTGGTTGTAAGGAGCACACTTCTGACTTGATTTAGTTTGGTTCTTTCCCTTCACTGTTTTAGTGCCTCGTTTTTCTGTCAAGGGCCATGAGCCCTGAGCTTTGCAACATATGCTATTAGTGCAACAAATCCCACTAATCTGGGGGGAATCTTTTCGAAAACGCCTGCCAGATAATAAGTTGTCATCCCGTTCAAAGAGCAGGTTATTCACCGCCTCAGCATTCAAGGAAGCTAGTCTCCGTTTTCTGGGCTCTGAGAGGCAGACATTATGCTCTTCCTCCTCAGTCCCAAGGCATGATAGCTGGCATTTGCCTGTAGAAGAGTCTTGTTTCCCTGCTCCTGCTACCGGAACTTGTTCTGGAAGGCAGGAAGGTCTGAAGTCATCTACGCAACTGGCAAGACCTCTTTTCATCACCCTTGGAGTCTCCTCTGACAGTGATCCAGCTACATCCTCCAGCCTTGTGAGTAGCACGGAGCAGGTTTTTTTGTCCACAGAGGAGCTGAGGCGTTTCCTTAAGGGATATGTCTTTCGGAATTCTTGCAAATTCCTGTTTTTAGTCGCATTGGCAAGTCTAGTCTGGATTTTCTGCCCTTCAGTACCATTTCCTTGCTTGCTGCCCTCCACCTCAGTCCTATCCATTCTCTCACCGTCAATCGGTGACAAAGCTTGGCTAGCAGAACCAGCTGAGTATTTCAGAAGCAAGAGCTGTTTCTTCCGGGCATGCGTCATAGGATCAATGTCCACCCCTGAGAACATAAAGGAAAATGCCTTAATATCAATGGTAGATAAATGCTTCCTCACACAATGCACCAACTGATACTTAGAACGTATGGGCTCTATACAAAATATGGATCTTTGGGGGCAAGGGATTAGGATTTAGGATTTTCAGCTATCCTAAAAACATGTCTTCATTTCAAACCAGAACTTGACAGTTACATTTGGCTAAAGACCAAACACCTAAACATTCATTCCTTACTTAGAAGCATGCGACTCTACACTAGTAACTACTCTACACTAATTCCAACAAATACTGATTTATCTCACCATCTCCTGTAGGGATGATTCCAATCAGGATTGTTCAGTTCCAGGATTTCTCTCGCATAACCAGGAAACCCCATTTTTGTGCCCACCATTTTGAACCCAGCATAAGACTAACCCCAAAGCCTTCCTTCTTTATTCAGAAGCATGCTACTCTTTTGTTAATTTCAATCAATATCGATCCATCTCACCATCATCTGTAGGGATGATTTCCATCAGGGATTATCCACTTGTAGAATTTCTCTCACATAACTAGGGAAGCCCATTTTTTAAAAGGAGAAGTATCTACTTTAGCATTTTTATCTGGTATTGGAAAAGCGATATCTTTGAATATTCGTGTTTTAAATAAAATCCTGTTAAAAAGCTCTAAAATGTGTTTGCAATATATCTGATCTTCATCTGCGTAGAATCCATTCAAAAGAAAGAGAGAACTCAGAACTCATTACCAGGACTGGAGAAAATATGACAAGCGTCTCTTGAGATTCCTGCGTACAGAAGAACACATCCCGGCCAGGGTGAAAAACTGATCTGCAGAGGATGGTATCTCTTAGCCAACAGAGAATGGCCATACAGAGTTATGAGGGCAGGCTTAGAAACCAGGATGAACAACACTCAGAAATGCTGATTTTCCTTCACACTGCTTTTGGATCACATATTACTAATACACATATGTGGGACCAGCATATAATATTTTTAAGAACATATTAGCAAGAAAAAGAAAACATCCTCCCACACGCAGATGGAACTGATTGGTCAGGTTATCAGAAATTCATTAGGCAATTACAATTTTACAGCTTTAGGTGTAAGAGTTACAATTTATTCTAGATGCATTTACTTTTCCCTGCGTACTATATACCATTTGGTTTCAGTTAATACGGATACATCCAGAATAGTGTATTTTGGTATCTAAAAACATATTTTTTTTTTCAAAAAGGTAAAGCAGCTATCCCCTTCTTCTCTATCATCCAGAGAGCATATTTTTAAATTTCTGCTTACCTACATCTGATTCCCTCAATCCCAATTCCAAAATACCACTCAGGTATTGTTATGGCTCTGCTTCTACAAACTAAAAACGCTGCTCATTCATAAAAAAAATCATCCTTCTATAGATATTTTGAAGATCCAGTGCAGTTTTCTATCTATGTTTAAGAATTGTTATTATTTCAGTGTTGGAATTACTATTATTTCAGGACAATGTAATGTGACTTCATTTCCAAATTTAATTTGGTTTCAACTTATTTCTAGTCTACTTCATACCCAGCCCAGAAAATTCCACATTTGTTTCCTCCCCATCTCTGATTTTTCACAGCGCAAATAAACTTGTGGGAGAAGAGAAAGGCTTTGTTTTGTAGACACAACATAGCTATGCAATCACGTATTATTGAAAAACGATAAATGAGGGCACCCTCCACTTCAATTCCATCTAGACCTGCTAAAAATAAATATTGATGCTCTGCTTATTTTCTTGTTTCTATTTTTTCTCCACTTTTTGCAGTTATAAAATATCACTAAGGCAGTAAAAATGCATGGCTCCTGAGCAGTGGATCATACCCATTTAGGCCCTTTGCAAAATTCTGTGATTTAGGCAGCAAGAAAATAATATAAGCTTCATCCAGGAACATTCCACAATATACCAGTACAGTATCTTTGCCAGATTGGAGGAGCACATGTAGATAGATCTGCCTGTTTTTAAATGTTAAATATATGGAAAGGTCTTAGTCCTTACTCCCACCATTTATAACAGGGAAAAAAAATGCAGGAACTACAAGTCCTTTTTTCTCCTTGGGTGAGCAGCTAGCTCCGCTTTCATTTTTTCCAGAAACAGAAA